TGGCTTAAGACTGGTGCTTGTGGCAAAGAGACGAGTACAAATGTGGTTTTCTCCACTGGCACATGAGACACATGGAAGGGAGTCCATGGTTTAATTCTGGACAGGATGAGTTTCAAATGTCAAAGGACCATCTGGTATGTTTCATAGTGGGGTCCCCCAACCCCACGGCTTCAGCATATCCGATGTAGTTTCGGCCGTCATACAAACATGTCACCCATGGGGGGAGTCGAGTTGGGAACCTTTTGGTTTCCCTTTAACCAGCTTGAAAAGGGGACTAGTACTCCTTCAAAAACACCACCACGGCACAGTGTCCCGCTACGTCTTTCGCATTAGGATTCAGCATCCCCCCTCTAAGAACGGCTCAGAAAAGGTGACACGCGTGCCCTTCGCATTTCACAGCTGGCACTGCAGCTTGAACAGGTATTCAGGGTGCGAAGGGCATGCATGACCCTCTGGTTGAATTATAACGACCTCACACGGGAGTATTATAATTCACCCAGACATAATGACCCTTGACCGACGCGACACTTCGATGTACTTGTTCATCCTATGTACCGACAATCCATTTCAGCGGTGACGTTGCGGCTCCAAGCGTCCGTTGAGGGGGTGCAAGTGAGGTGGGGGTCATACTGAGGCCAAGCAGTGCAACGAAAGCAGCAGGCGAGCGGGTGGGCGGCGGGATGTTGCAGTTCTCTACGGCAATTACTTCTGGGCAACTAGGTCTCACAAATGTTTTGCTTCGCGACAGACAGCACATGAAGCTTCCTTTCCTACACTGAGATTCAGCTAGGACGCTGGCACCCCACTTGCATTGCTAGCATCTTCAGGCGTCATATGGGTATGGGTCAAAATCAAACCACCAGGAAACCGCAGGTTTTCGACCTTCTTTCCATTTAACTTGGTATTTGTGGTACCTATTTTTGACCCACAGCCATATAGCGTCTGCTTTCAGCAATGCAAAAATCCATTCTGCTCGTCGACGAAGCCTGAAGAGGTTGCAGTTCAAACAGGTTCGGAGGTCCTTTGCGGCATGGTTTGGAAGGCGCAGCCGCAAATAGGCAAGCGGAGCTGTTTGGGAATTTCTCGAAAGGGACCCCCGTTTTGGTTGGCTACCAAAGGGGAGACTAAAGGAGAAACCGGTCCCGTTCAGGGGACCGCTTCCTATTTTGCGAGCATGACCCTTTCCTCTCGTAAGATTCCATTTGAGAGACAGCAAGAAGGGCAATTCCCGTTTGAAGGGTGCCACTATCAAGGTGGTGGCATATTTGTCGGGATCGTAGTGGAGGGGCCGCAACTCCCCTGCGTGAAGAACAGCACAATGGGTCTCCCTTTCAACCCGAGCAACAAACAAAAGGTTGCCCATGGTTGTCCAAGGTTCCAAGATTTGTCGCAGTCCCGTGCCCAGGGTCACTGGCTGTGCCGACTGAAGACCCCCAGAATACCAATGTCTTTAGCTTTGTTTGGATCGGATGGAATTGGTTAAACGTCTTGCAAATCTTGGAGGCCTGCTTCATATTTTTTGAGAGGCGCCCAGGCCATTTGTGGGCTCTGCTTGTGATTTCACTTTGGGAATCTTTTTTGGATTCCCGTATGAGAGGCCATGAGAGACGCATTACGCGGCCACAGAAGCTTCTCCTTGCCTTTTTCCGCAATGTGAACGTTTTTCCCAGTTGTTTTGATGGTTGATCAAGATGAGTTTTTTGTGGAACAGCCACTCGAAACCATCTGGGGATTTCCTATCCCATGGTTCTGGGAAGGCTGCTGCCACAACCTTGGATTCACCAAGAACCTCACGATCTACTCCCCAGGTAAACATGGAGCCAAAAAGCCATACTTAGAGGAAGCTCCGGACGGGAATCAGACCCCCCCCCTTTTGAGCTCCTTCCGCCAATTTGCAGGGGAGTATAGTTAAGGGTGTTCGGCCAAGTTAGAATGTTGTGGGCAGACTAGGTGATAACCCACTTCCAAGTCCCCCATTCAGTGGGGTTGCCGCCTGTTTTTAGTGGGTTAGAACCCGAGAGATGCTAACCACTTTCTATCTTTGCCACGAACACCGAAGTACCCAAAAAACCATCATTAGAGGAAACGTCCAAAGGGGGCCACCCCCCTTTGGTTTGCTTGCGTTCATTTGTAGGGGAGTGCCATTTGGGAGTGTCTTTTTCTGGGTACCCACCAAATTGGTGGTTTCATGTTATTTCCTCAAGCCACCAAACAAGTGGTCTCAAGAAAGACACAAGCAATCATTTTCAAGTTCGACACCAAACATGTTGCACACGGTTTTTCCATGTTTTTCCTTTGGCTTCCCTTGGTCCTTTTAGTACTCTTTCAGTACTCTTTTAATATTCTACTAGGGGTGGATCCACAGATTCGCCACCTCCAAACCGTTTCAACGCCACAAAGTCAAGCTCCAAAAACAATTCGCCGACCCGGCGGTGCTCGTCGGAGGTCACAAGCAGACCAGAATGCACCAAGCAGGAACCCTACTTGGAGTCTCCATGACCTCAAAAAATGGGGTCATCGCCCAAAATGATGGGGTCATTGACCCGTTGTTAAAGGGTCATGGAGGCTCCAGGTACTTCGAGGGAGACCAAAAATTCTACGGCCGGGATCCAAACCTAGGTCCCCCAGTGCCCTTTCTCACCCCTTTTTTGGGAGAGGGTTCTACAAAAATAGACGAGTCAGGAAAAAACATCGGGTAGCAACTTATTCGAACCTCTCTGGAGGAGGAGACATAGCCGAGGCCCGCAGCTTGAGCCCCACAATTTCGGTTCCTTCACAGGGCCTCCAGATTTGGTTGCGTCTGCCTCTCTGCTGGAGCACCAAGAAGTTAGAAACCCCCCAAAAGTGGGGTTTTCCACTATAAACCCCGAAAAAGCGAACCAGGGTCGTTACCGCAACCAAGTTACTGGAGGACTTCGAAACCGTCGAATCGCTCGGTCGCCTTCCAGGCTGAGGCTTGGTTGCAGGCCTTGCGGCGGCGCCTCTCCAGGGAGCAGGAATCCGGGGCGGGCAACTGGATTCAACGGGACGGTTTTCTGGGGTGGATCCGTTTCCGGAGGGAAATCTCATGCTTGTGTTGGTCGTTTTGTGAGTGGCTTTTGTAGTTGTTTATTGGTTTTCTGCGTGTTTTTTTGTTTGTGTTTTTATTTGTGTGGTTGCCTTGGGTTTCCTTTCGTTCCCTTCGGTTGCCTTCGGTTTCTTTTGGGCTTGTTGGTTTCCCTGGTGTTTGCTCTTTCACTTCCCTGGGCGTTTGTGAGTCATCTGAGAGGAGGGAGAAGCTTTTTCTAGACTTGGTTCTCTCGCGCGTTGTGGGTGCTGCCAATTTCCGCCTGCCGAAGGTTTAGGAGTGGGTCGATCCTGCCGGCGAACAAAAGGCAAAAGGGAGTCGTTTTGGCAACAGAAAATATAATCCTCGAAAGTGTGGCGTACGCTTGCTCAAAAGGTCCAGATGGGAACCAGTGAGTAGATATTGTTCTTTTCCTGAGCGCCTACGAGCGCAGGGGCGCTTGGATGAGGAGGCGCGTTGCACAAGCGGGGGGGGGGGGGGGTCCCAGTCATTCAGGGGGGCACTCTTTACCTTTTGATTGGTGGTTTCTGGCTAGCGTGGTCAAACCCAGCAAGTTGTTTCCGGTTTTTCAGGGCTTCCCCCGCAGTGATGAGTCTTTCCTTTTTCTAGCAAGGTCACTGGGCACCTGGGGCGAGTTTTCCTGAAGCCGAGTTTTGAGCTTGCAAGACTTTCTGCTTCTCCCCGAGAAAAAGCCATCCCCTATGATTCGTTGCCGTCTCAGTTGCTTAAAACGGATCGACCTTTTAATAAATTTGACCTTTTGGTTTTCAGATGTCCCCCATGGTAACTCCTTCTCACTTGCTCAGAACGGATCGACCTTTTAAAGCTTTTTGGTTTTCAGATGTTAGCAACAAAGGTGAAATCTCACCTTTGATTTCTGGGAACCCAAGCTGGGCACGGGAATCCCCGAAATCCGTTCATTCCCCCAACACCCGCATGCAGGAGCTCCTGACATTTGGCTGCCCCGGCTTCCTATGACTGCTGTTGACCTGTTTTAGGCTGTTTGGTTCTGTCCATTTTAAGTTTATGTGTGTGGGGCAAAAACTGGTGTTTGTTTTTTTGCTGCCATGCAAAGGTTGTAAAGTTCCGAGGGTTTTCCACCTCCACGACGGAAAATCATCCAACAAACTAAATGCTGACCCCCAAAGAACATACCTTTGTGGAACATGCGCGTTGAAGCTTGTCTACCAAGGAACATCAACTGCCAATCGGCCACTTTGCCAGGATGCAGGCTCCGTTTGTCATGTCACGTCGATTTGCAATTGTAGCAAAAGGCTGGACCGCAGGCCACTCAGAAAGTTGGGCTCTTGCTCCAGCCACTGGAGAAGCTGTTGCATTGTTTTTCAAGTTGTTTTTGTTACTTCTCAGCACCAGGAAGGTCAATCGGGACACCCGCCCGAGCGCTGGATGCTTGTGCCTTGCACCCGCCTTTGGCTCGTAGCTTCAAACTTTTCCGCAACGCATGTGTTGAGCGGTGCTTTCATCGTTTGCATTTTTGCGAGGCTGCCAGTTTGATTGATGGCACACAATCAAAGACTTCCGCCAACGAAGAAATGTGACAGTTAAGCCTTCTTTCGAGCTTGTCAAGTCTCAAGACACCATGTCTTCAATTCAAACACCCGTTTGCGGTGGACTGCTTTTGGAAGTTGGGGTAAGCATCAGAGCGCAGAGGATGCAGTGAAAAGCTAGGTGCAGTTGTCTGAAAACTCATTTGCCCAAAGCGAACCGAGCGTTTGAAAAAAATTGACCTTTTCATTTCCCCGTTTAGGCAACCATTTTCAATAAAGGTCCCGTGGCCGGTGTAGTACATGTCCCGATTGATGATCACCCTTTCTTTCCTTGGTGGCTCCCAGCCATCCGGTTCCTTAGTTTTTTAGCCTTTTAGTGTTTAGTGGTAGTTTCCATTTAACACACTAAAAGTTAAACTTTGTGCGGGGGATCTGAGGGCACGCTGGGAACTGACCAGATGAGAGCTCCAAGCTTGGGGCACCGCTGCCCTCGCTTCGCGGTCTGAAATGCCTTCGGACGGGGTGTGGGAGGCGGGGTTAACTCAATGGGAGGGGAGCGGGAGCGGGTTGCGCCGCCCTTTGAACCAACCTCGCTTGGCGCGAGATCCGATGGATTTTGCAAAGCAGAACCAGGTTCGGCAAGCTTCATTTGATCACGTGGCTGTGGGTCAAAACCAATGGTATCATTCTGGGGTAGGTGCACCACCCATTTTAGTCTATTTTAGTGGGGATTGGGATGTTCACTGGCGAACGGGATTTTGACCCATGGCCACGCATCGAAGCAATGGGTCTGTGAACAGGAAGTTGGCCAACAGCCCAAAGCTGCAGAGACTCTCCAAAAACCCAAGAGTGGTTTGTTTCTAAATCGCCCAAGTGACCCCCCTTGTTTTTTCATAGCTCCTCGATTGGCAAGCACGGGGATGAACGAGCTGCATGGCTTCGACGTGCCAGCCTTGATTAAAGCGATAGAGTTGACTGCTGAGGTTTGCTGAGCATAGAGCAGTTTGTTGTGGGCTGTGGGTGGTTCAGCTTACCTTGCAATAGGGGGTGAATCTCAAGAAACACTTCCTTGCATGACCTTCACGTACATCAAGCACTTTTCGCTTGGCAATTTTGGGGGAAGCGGCGTCCGGCTGGGAGTTTGTTGGTTTGGTTGGAGGGCAATTAGGGATTTATGGACTGGGGGCGTCTCCCACGGAACGCAGGCACAAATCTTGCAATTGCAGACATGTTTGGTAGCCAAAGATGACATGTCGTATTTGTTCACAGTTGACGTTTTTGTCTCCCGAGGCGGCGGCTCCAATGCTTGTCCCGACAGTTGGGAAGGTGCAAAAGGTGCATTTTGGGCTGTGCCATGGCTTTCTGGCTCCGCGCATGGTCGCCCCTGCATGTGACAGCTCGTTGACCAAAAGCGCTGCGGTGGGTTTTCTGCTTACCAGTGTGAGGAGCGCACGCCGGCGCTGCCGTGCCAGAGCTGGACGGAGAGTTGAGCTGCTTGTGGACGGAGACTCAAACAGCGTCGGCCATATGCAGAAGGCGATTGAAATCCTGGAGAAGGAGGGCCACCGCGTCCATGTCACAGTGTTTGGACCACCTGGAGGCAGACGGAACAGGACAGAGTGGAAGCAGTTTTTGCAGTCAAATAATGTGGTGTTTCAGCCTGTTGCTCGAGGGCAAGATGAGAAAAGAGAGGCTAATGATGAGGCAATTGACGCTGAGATTCAATCGCGTGCACGCGCCAAAGACGTTGACTGCATTGCTTTGCTCTCAACTGACACGGGTTTTCTCAGTTCCTTGCAGCACTGCTCCCTGTTTGGGACTGAAACCGTGCTTTTGATTCCCGACATAAAGTTTGAAGCTATCAGATTTTACGAAGCAAACAGGGTACGGGTACAACGGATACCAACAGAGCGCAACTTGACCAGAGTCAGAGCACGTCTCCGTGCCGACGGAAGTGGGGCTGTTCAGTTGTCCAAGCCATACACAGCAATTGAGAATGAATCCCGAGCAGCGGCCGTGATGAGTTTTTTGCAAGATCAGGGGTACTACAACCATGGAGCATGCGTGTATTTGATTCAGTCCATTGCCAAATTCTGGTTTGCGAACGCTTTGGGCACGTTGACAGTGTTTCCTTTTCAGCTTGCCACAATTGCCATGAGCACTGCAATTGAATCAGCCTCAAGCACCCAATCGTGGCAAGCCTGGGGCACACAGCTGGCCTTTTTTCTCCCAGCAAGCAATCCAGGCCCCAAGAGTGCGGACACATCAAGCCGATTTGGGTCCCGGCTGGCGCGTAGTGTGTACCGGGGAGGAGGCCCATTCATTTTGAAGGATTCCAGCAACCTGACCCGCAAAGCCTTGATGAAGCTTGGCTACATGGATTACCAACTGAACACTGATTTATCTGAAGCCATGCTTTGCTTCGTCAACCGCAGCGAAAACAAGAACCTGCTTCGAAAGCTAGGCTTGCTTCCATCAGAAGGGGCAAGCAACATGGAGGTTGATTGCATTTTGCGCCAGGCATTTCTGTCGAATGGGACACCTGGACAGTGGCGGGTGGGACCCAGATCTTCACAAGAGGTGCAGCAGGTTCTGGCGGCTGCAAATGTTCTCCCCAAAGGGCCAACAACCCAGAAGGAGCTGTTTGCAGCGATGGGAGTTTACGCGCGTCGCCACGGGTTGCCGGAAATGCGGACGTTCAATGGCCGCGCCTGGCGAATTCTGCGGTTCTTGGACCGATCCCCTACCACGCGGGGCGTCATCGAAATTGCCGGATCTTGATCGGGCTTGTTCGCCACGTGGACTAGGTTAACCTGGGGCATGGCACAAGCATCACCGCACTCCTCTGCGATGCTCAGAGGGATGCTCAGCGGGTCTCCGTGTCCGACGTCACCGCCTGGGTCTGGCCTTTCGGCCGCGCCATGC